CACACACACACACACACACAAGCCTTCCATCATTATCGATACCTGGTTGAATCACAAATGATCCGATTAGCGAGATGGCTAATGAGAAGAAGAACCAGACTTCACTGGAGATTCATTAGTTTTTACGAGGGAAGCAACCGACGCCAACTTAAATCACCCGGATCTGAAGAAAAGAGGCCAGAACATATTTAATTGGTGTTTCCATGAGCTCTGAGACGACACATGAACCCCGTTACAAACACGTGCCTTTCACTCTCACTCAGTCCTCCTCCTGTCCTAAAACATGGTGAAGATGAAATGATGGAGGCTGTTTGGTGCTGCCAGCAAAGCAGAAATAAAACAAGGGCAAAGATGAGCAAGTGGGCAGCATAAAAGAAAAAGCTAAATGAAGAGAGCACTGAAAAATCTAAGGACTGTTTAAAATAAAAGATTGTCTAGATTTGCTCATTTTTGATAACACATGAGAACCTTGTTCATTTATTTCTACCTCCAGCCCCATTGAGGACTTGCTTTGCAAATACCCATCTCTTATGTAATCACACACACACATGCGCACACACATTTTATATTATTTCTCAAGCCCTCAATTTAATAACAATTCTGTATTTTTATAGCCTTGTGCTATGAGGAAGAACAGCCTCTGCTGACCCTGAGCTGTTTTTAAAAAAATGGCTGCAGCCTCGCTGGCTCCACTCAGAAATATTCCTGTCCTCCGGGAGAAGCTCCTGTTTTTGTTTTCTCAACACAAGCTCTTTAAACCTGAACTCGGTATGAGAAAGACTCTGTTGAAAAAGCGAGAGGGTTTGGAGTTTCTGAGCTTTTCTTTGTCTCTCTCATCTACTTTTCTCCTGACGTGAGAGTCATCGCTCAGTTCCTCCTCACTTCTACCCCTTTCCCCACTTTTAAACCTGACTGTAAACTCTTGCTGATGACCTGTGAGAGATGACATTACCTCACTCGGCTCATTACCTTCTCTGGTCAGGCAAGTCTTCATCAGATCAAATGTCTTTGGTGTCACGTGTAAAGTGGCCACGCTTCGCTGAAATGAGCTTCATAAATGAGTGAATCTTGCTCAAACAAATCGAGGCTAAAATATCACTTTTTACACAATTGGAATGGGACAGACTGAGTACAGAGAAGCTCATTCTGACCTCTGGCATAGAAGCATAATGAAAACCTCATTTTTAAAGGAGACGTGTCGTTTTAAATCCTTTTTTTTCCTACATTTAAATCATTCATTTGGGGTCTTCATTAAGTGATCTGCAATGCTTTGGTCTGAATTCCTCATTACTGTAACTCCACAAGCCCCTCTTTCACCCCTTTTCGGAGCTGAGTCTCAGCTCAACTCGTTTTGAGGCTGACTCTTTAAATAGCGTAAAGTTTAGTTTAAAACAAAGGCACAGGAAAGTGTTTTTCCTCCTTCATTTTCTTTTAAACTAAACTTTAATGTTCAAGCTTAACAAAGCACTTTGTATTGCCTTGCTGCTTAAAAAAATAAATGTTACCTTGACTGAGGAAGCACAAACATCGGATCTGTACATGGATCCTACTCCTTTCTGTCTGTTGACCAATAGTAGAGGAGATGACCGAAGGACAGCCCACCTATTTGCATAAGTTAAAGCAGGAGACAAAAAATGTAAACGCAACTCATGAAAAGAAAACAATAAAACGTTAAATTAAAATATGAAGATACACAGATGCTTGTATAAGTTAAAGAAAACACAATATATATATAT